TTTTTGCACCATACTGTTTTTATTAATTATATTAAAGATTTTGTATTATTAATTTATAAGTTAAATTAAATAGGTTTATATAGTATATACTATAAGTAATTATTTTTTTAATTAAATTGATTCAATATAATTTAATAAACAAGTAATATTATTTCAAATGTAAATTTAAAAAAATATATTTAGTCAATAAAATAAAATTGGAAATAATTTATAGATGATTAATAGTGATTTATAAACAATCAAATCAATATAAATTATTAAAAAAATTTTTTTTTTGTTTTAATTTGAAAACTCATTGAAATTTGTTATATGTTATTATTATATGCCATCAATTTGAAGAGATTTAAATTAATTCGATTTTTGTTATATTGAAAATATTAGATTTTAACTAATTATTGAAAATATATAAATGTTTAAAAAAATTAATTATGATTTTGAAATCATTAAAATATTGGATTTTAACAAATCATTGAAAATATATAAAAGTTTAAAAAATAAATCATGATTTTGAAATTATTTAAAATAACATTATTAATATGAAAATAAAAGTTTTCAAGAAAACTTGATTGCTTTTTTTTTTGACAAAATTTATTTTAAAATATCACGTCCTGTATATTTGACGGGTATTGAATATAAAAGACTCTTGTTAACCTTTTGTTCGCAGTTATTTCATGAAAGATCAATTAATAATAAATAATAAAAGTATTTTTATTCTTTGATTTTCTATCATTTAGAAAGATTCATTCATGAATAAGGAGAATTAAAATTATTATCAGTATAAAATATCAATCATCATCTCTATTTCTTATAGATGCAACATAAAAAAATTTTTTTGTGTGTGGTTTTATGTGTAAGTCAATTGGAAAAAAAAATTTATATGGTAAACACATATGATAATGTTTCAATTGATTTTATCTCGACGGATTGAAAAGAAGATTTAATAAAAGTTATTGATTTTAATTATGGCTTATAAATCATAACAATTACGGTGTTTACACCTATTACATGATAAATTAACATCTCGTGCGAGTGTAGTATGGTATAACAATAATTTGAATCAAACCATTTACTTTACTTGATGCATTGGCTCATGTATTTTGGTTGGGTGTGGTTCCTCAAAACATGTGCTTGTCGCAGGAAGGTCTGTTTCAGGTGTTCTCATTCTCAGTTCATTCACGCTCAAATCTCCTCGACCTGCAGACGTTAATGAAAGGTGATAAAGTTTTGATAATGCTTTTAATTTATCAGTGGATGTGTGGTTATGTAAGCTCTATAATAATCAACTCTGGGACGGGGTGTAGGATTAAGGAACAATTAATCCTTGGGGTCATCTTAAAGACATCATCATCATCATCCATGACCGAATTAGGTATATGTGAGAGGTAATATGATTTTTCATTGTTGTCATTAGGGTTTTAGCATATGTCAAGATACAGAGTCAAGTAAAGATTGGCAATAGAATAAAGGAAACGAGATGCGTCGTGATGGATTAGTAATGAGTACGATAGGTAAGTAGGTGTGCGAGTATAATAAATGCTCAAATGTCTTTTGTGATTTTTCTACGTTGACGAAATTTCTCATGAAATTTCTATCATGAGCACAAAAAAATACGTATTCCCAAGATTTTGTGCAATTTCCGAATCTTTTGAAACGTAGAGAGACAGGGATTTCATTGGTGCTAAGAGTACATGGTGTTCGTACATACTTTGACATGTGTCAAAACGATTAAAGGAACCGTACACAATGAATGAGAAAACAGGTGTAATCTTGCAGACTACGTAGGTGGTATTTGATAATGGTAAAAAGAGGAAAGTTCACTAACCAAAAGTTGAAGATACTTTGAGCGGGGAAAAAAAGGTGACATGAGGAAACGAGGTTTCACGGAAATTGCAAAACCTTAACGTTCGTCACTTTTCATATCCAGGAAGGGGGACGGACTCGCTAACAGTGTTTGGACGAATCAGCCGGCGATGAGGATGATGAGCCAAGAGTTTGAGGAAAACGTGCAAAAGTGACTAGTCGAAAATGTATGCGCACACACGTATGTACAGTAATATTCGTTATGAATGTACGCAGAATATCGTTGTGAAAACCAAATTTATCTTCTAATCTTTCGCTTTTTCTGGTAAAAACAAAACAATGATGTTTTTATTCTGATAATCACCGTCCAATCGTAGCTTGCACGAAATGATATTATCATTATTAGTTCTTTCATCACCTTCCAAATTGTTGTACCTGAAAAATCGATAGATGATGTGCGCATAGTAACGGTGGTAGTGGTAGTGATGATGATGATGATGATGATGATGATGGTGAACGTTCACAATTGTGTGAATCAATTGTCTAAATGAAAAATTCAACATCATAAGATCATTCAAAACCAACCAACTAACTAACTAATACCAGATCGGTTGAGTTAGTTGGTTGAGGTAGAAGAATTGCATCAATTTACCTATTGTTCGGTATC